TTATTATTACAGGTCTCCCTCCACATTCGCGAGTTCCGCTTTTGCAGGCTTCGAACATTCGCGAATTCCCAGCCACCCAATCATATTTAAAATGTCATTACATATGTTAGGAACTGTGGCGGTGGCAGAGTTTGTTTTTAAGATAAGATAGTCCTTCAATATGACACTGATATCAACTCTATGGCTTATTTATCTATCACAATTCATCTAATATGACATAATAAACAATATTAATAACATAGAAACATGACATATTCTCTAGAATGAATAAAATATGTCATTAAGTATGTCACAAGTGTTGCTGTTGTTGGGTGTATAAGGGCCACTGAGAGCATAAGCCTTACATAGTGGTGGTGGAGGCAGCATCAGAGGAGGTAGAGACTAGAGACGGTGGTGTTGTCAGTCACCCTATATAACTCCAACAACATTGGAGGAGTTAGGTTCGTGCTGTTGTTTTTTATCGATTAATCGCTTAACTTACTTGCTACACTGTTAATGCTACACTTTATCGCTGGCTGGTGCTATAGCCTTTAACAACTCATGCTGCTTTAGTATCGTACATACCTTAGAATCACTGAAGAAGGCACGTTCTCCCCTCTCTCTCTCTCTTCCTCCTCCACTTTGATTCTCTGCTATGAGTTCTTTCTTGAATTCTATGGCTTTTCTCACCTTCTTTACCAAAGGGCTGGCACTAGTACAATATTTTACGATGTTTTCGTATGTTTTATGATTGTTCATGGTTCAATAGGTTAAGGAAGCAGTATTGTTAAGCTAAGTAATTGCTATTATTATATTTCCCTACAGTATATTTGTGCACCAAACATTTGTGATTTTTCAATATTCGCCGAGGTTCTTAATCCCCTAACCCTCATGAATGTGGAGAGAGACTTTTTTTTTTTTTTAACAAGACGGCCGTCTCCCACCGAGGCAGGGTGACCCAAAAAGAAAGAAAATACTTTCATCATCATTCAACACTTTCACTTCACTCACACACACAATCACTGCTTTTGCAGAGGTGCTCACAACAGTTTAGAAGTATATATGTATAAAGATACACAACATATCCATCCAAACTGTCAATATCCCAAACCCCTCCTTTAACCCTTTCAGGGTCCTCCGTAGATCTACGGTTTACATTCGGTCAACTAGTCTACTCATGAGCTCAGCTCCTCTGATAAACTGTGAGTGGTACATTTGGGCCTAGATATGAGAGAATACATCTGTGTGGTATGTGTGCACCACATAAAACAGATCTTGCATCACACTGTGTATAATGAGAGAAAAAAACTGAAATCATGATTTTTCGATTAAAACAGCGACTTTGCAGTGTTTTTTCGTATGTTTTTTATAGTTATATTTGCGATTTCTTGGTCTCATTTGATAGAATGGAAGGCATATTACAGAAATAGAGATGATTTTGATTTGTTTTAACACTGGAAATGGCTTGAAACTGAGCTCAAAGTAGCAGAAATGTTAAATTTTTGCCGATATTCAAGAGTAAACAAACGACCTCACACGTCTAATACACGCCAGCTGGTGGGTCTAATATGCATTTACAAATATGTTGATGATATTTATACAATTATTACAGTATTGCATAACAGTAAATCTTCTATTTTTTGGTGTGAATAAAAATTCATTATGTGAATAAAAAATCAAAATGGAATTTATTTGTAAAGCCTCAAAACGTAACTAATAAACAGAGGAAATGTTAATTTAGTTCCGGGAATACCTACATTGTTTATTCTGGGCCCTATTTTGAAATTGGAATATTTTGAACTTTGTGTTAAATTGGCCAAATTAACAATTTCTGATCACTTTGATTTGTAGTTGAAACAGTTGACTTGGTGATTTGTTTTGCTCAATCGATAGAATAGAAGTAATACTAGTGAAATAGCTAAGAATTTGGTTGACTGGAATAATGTAATTGGCCTAAAATGGGAGTCAAAGTCGGCAAAATCGCCGATTCGTAAATATCGCTGACACATCAAAATTCTCGAGAGCATAATTTCGTCAATTTTCCATCAAATTTCGTACTTTTTGTTTTATTACCTTCACAAAAAGATTCTCTACCATTTCGTAAGAAAAAATGACAAATTTTTTTTTTTTTTTAAATTCTTGGACACTGGGGCACCACTTCAGATTTGGGCCTTGGACCCTGAAGGAGTTAACCCTTTCAGGGTCCGGAGGTCAAATTTCAGAGTGTGCACCAGGGTCCAAGAATTTAAAAAAAAAATTTTTATTTTTTCTTATGAAATGGTAGATAATCTTTTTCAGAAGGTAATAAAACAAAAAGTGCGAAATTTGATGGAAAATTGATGAAATTATGCTCTCGCGAATTTTGATGTGTCAGTGATATTTACGAATCAGTGATTTTGCTGACTTTGACTCCCATTTTAGGCCAATTACATTATTCCAGTCGACCAAATTCTTAGCTATTTCACTAGTATTACTTCTATTCTATCAATTGAGCACAAGAAATCGCCAAGTCAACTGTTTCAACTATAAAATAAAGTGATCAGAAATTGGTAATTTGGCCAATTTAACACAAAATTCAAAATATTCCAATTTCAAAATAGGGTCCAGAATAAACAATGTAGGTATTCCTGGCACTAAACTAACATTTCCTCTGTTCATTAGTTACATTTTGAGGCTTTACAAATGAATTCCATTTTGATTTTTTATTCACATAATGAATTTTTATTCAAAGCAAAAAATAGAAGATTTACTGTTATGCAATATTGTAATAATTGTATAAATATCATCACCATATTTGTAAATGCATATTAGACCCACCAGCTGACGTGTATTAGACGTGTGAGGTTGTTTGTTTACTCTTGAACATCGGCAAAAATTTAACATTTCCTCTACTTTGAGCTCAGTTTCAAGCCATTTCCAGTGCTAAAACCAATGAAAATCATCTCTATTTCTGTAATATGTCTTCCATTCTATCAAATGAGACCAAGAAATCGCAAATACAACTATAAAAAATATACGAAAAAACACTGCAAAGTCACTGTTTTAATCGAAAATCACGGTCTCAGTTTTTTTTTTCTCTCATTATACACTGTGTGCTGCAGGATTTGTTTTATGTGGTGCACACATACCACATAGATGTATTCTCTCATATCTAGACCCAAATTTACCACTCACAGCTTATCAGAGTGAGCTGAGCTCATGGCGTAGATCTACGGTTTGGACCCTGAACGTAAAGCTGTAGATCTACGGCACGGACCCTGAAAGGATTACAGTGCAGGCATTGTATTTCCTATTTCCAGGAGTCAAGTCCGGCTTAAAAATAACCGGTTTCCCTGAATCCCTTCACTAAATATTACCCTGCTCACACTCCAACAGTTCGTCAGGTTCCAAATACCATTTGTCTCCATTCACTCCTATCTAACGCTCAAGCCCCTCGCCCACAAAGCCTTTTTTTTATCCCCTCCCTCCAACCTTTTCGAGGACGACCCCTACCCCATTGTCCTTTCCCTACAGATTTATACGCTCTCCATGTCATTCTACTTTGATCCATTCTCTCTAAATGGCCAAACCACCTCAACAACCCCTCTTCAGCCCTCTGACTAATACTTTTATTAACTCTACACCTTCTCCTAATTTCCACACACTGAATTTTTTGCATAATATTTACATCACACATTACCCTTAGACAGGTCATCTCCACTGCCTCCAACCATCTCCTCACTGCAGCATTTACAACTCAAGCTTCACACCCATATAAGAGTGTTATACATTCCCTTCTTTGCCTCCATAGATAACATTTTTTGTCTCCACATGTACTTCAACACACCACTCACCTTTTTTTCTTCAGCAATTCTATGATTAACCTCATCCTTCATAAATCCATCCGCTGACACGGCCATAAAAACCATACGAATACATTGCTAAGGGGAGGCCAATTGCTGAGAAGTGAACTCCATTATTTATGGTCTGATTTCTTTCATTTTTGGTGTATGTTAAGAAGCATCGTACATTGGCCAAGTTTCAATAAGACAGTCCAACAAACAAATGAGATCCAATTCCCTAGATCAAGAGCAAGAACCCCTCACCAGTGTCAAGGAACCTCCCTTGAGGCCTGCTCACTCAGGGAAATTTCGGTCGTGTATGGAAGCAAAAAATAGACTGATCAGCTGCTCGTATTTGGAAAAACTCACATATGGAAGCACTCGCAAGTAGAGGTTCCACTGTACTCGTCCCTCCTTGCATCACTTCTACTTTGTAAAAGCCTCTCATATGCTAACTTTTTCTCTCTTACTAATCTCTTTACATTGTCATTCCACTAATCCCTTCCACACCCACTTTCTATAACCACAAACTTCTGCTGAACACTCTTAACAATATGCTCTAACACTATTCTTAAACTTTCCCCATACATCTTCTTCCCCATTGCCTATATACTCACAGTAGCCCATCTGTCCTCCAACAGTTGTTTATATCTTTCCCTAACTGCCTCCTCCTTTAGTTTTGTAAACCTTCACCTCTCTCTTACTTGATGCTTCCATTTTCCTTGTATGCTATCTACCTTTTACTCTCACTATAGCTACAGCTAAAAAGTGATCTGATATATCTGTGGCCCCTCTGTTATATATTATATGTTATGTAATTAACTGGGCTCTTTGACAGACAGGGAAGCTGTTTTCAGGTACAGTATTATTTTTCAAGTAAGAATATGAAAAGTGTCTTTCACTATGTTTATATTTTTTCCTTGTATTTTTCTGTTTAAAGTATGCTACTTTGCTATTACTGCATACAAAATGTTTATAAGTTTAAAAATAAAATTAATATTTTTTCTTTGCTTCCGGTAGGAGTATTGATGAAAGTAATGAACAAGAAGATTCATCATATGCCAGCATCATTACATTCAAAACTTAGTTATTTAAATTATTTACCTAATGACAGCCAGGAAATTGCATACTAAATGTTTATTTTTATATAAGTTTATTTTCAAATGATATACAGGTAGTCTGTAAGTAAATTTATTTTAGCAGGTACAGCCAATCATCACCAGGTCGGGAGCGAGGACACGCACGTAGACATTCCAGTGCAGAGGCCCATCACGAGGAGGGGGAGGAGTTAACTGACCAGACTGCTACGTTAACATTAACATCAGCAACTGCTAGGGCTCGGGCTCAGAGTGATAGTCAACATGATCGTAGAAGAGATGGTAAGGGCACAAAATTACTTTATTCCAAACTTCAGGACCAGGCATTATGCCAACAAGAATTGTGGGTTTTTTTTATACGATAATGCACAGTTTTATAATATGATGATTTTGTTTTAACCCTTAAATGGTCCAAACATATACAGTGGACCCCCGCATAACGATCACCTCCGAATGCGACCAATTATGTAAGTGTATTTATGTAAGTGCATTTGTATGTGTATGTTTGGTGGTCTGAAATGAACTAATCTACTTCACAATATTCCTTATGGGAACAAATTCGGTCAGTACTGGCACCTGAACATACTTCTGGAGTGAGAAAATATTGTTAACCGGGGGTCCACTGTATATACGTTTTTTCAACATTTGAAAGTATGTAAAAAAATGTACATCATCTTTTGTTTTTTTTACATTTGAAAATGTGTAAAAAAACTTTTATCTACATTTTTTGTTATATTTGAAAATATGTAAAAAAACATAGATTTACTTTTGGAGCACTACTGATATGAACGTCGATCTTTTTGGACCGTTTAAGGGTTAATCACTAACCTAAAAAACATATGTAGTACCTGAATCTAATTTTCATCTCTTTTTAGAATAAAACAATAATTTTCAAAAAGCTATATATGGGAGGGCCCTGCTTTAGGGTGTTATGCTTTACGGCATTCCTCTAGTATGGACATTTCAAATTATGACCAAAACTTGCTATATGGCTCCCCCACCTGATTTTCTAATGTGGTCACCTTGCCCCACCCAGTTTGTTTATATTCTCCTTGAGCTCCACGAGCACCGCATCTCTCCATTATGTCTGGAAACTTTCCAAAATTTCAAATGTTTTTAAGTCATTTCATATTTTATGTATACTCTGATAATTATGCTTATGTAGAGTGGAACCTCGGTTTTCGTCATTAATTCATTTCAGAAAGTCTGACGAAAAACCAAATTCAACAAAACTTGAAGCAAAATTTCCCATAAGAAATAATGTAATTTCAATTAATCCGTTGCAGACACCCAAAAGTATTAACAAAAAATACATTTTTTAGAGAATAACTATAGTTTTACATACAGGAAATATGAGAAATACAGTGGAACCTCAAAAATCGAACTTAATCCGTTCCAGGAGCTAGTTCTAAATTCGAAAAGTCTGAAATTCAAAGCAATATTTCCCATAAGAAATAATGGAAATACAATTAATCCGTTCCAGAAACCCAAAAAATATTCACACAAAAAATACATTTTATAGAGATTAATTACAGTTTTACATACAACAAATACTATAGTTTTTAATTATGTATAGTAATACATATAAAATAACATTTTTACTTACCTTTATTGAAGACTGGTGATGGCATCTGGAAGATAGGGAGGAGGAGAGAGGGAGTTGGGGTTAGTGTTTGGAAGGAGAATCCCCCTCCATGAGGACTTCAGGTAAAGCCCTCTCTGGGGTTACTTCTCTTCTCTGTCTTTTAATGCCACTAGGACCAGCTTGAGAGTCACTGGACCCCTGTCTCACAAAATAACTGTCCACAGTCCTCTGTTTCTGGTGCCTCCTTAGCATTTCCCTAAAATGGGACATGGTTCTGTCACTGAACTTGTTGCAAAGATGGCTTGTTTCACCTTGCTCAGGGTGGTACTTCTGCACAAACATTTGGACATCATTCCACTTGGCACAAATCTCCTTAATCTTTGAAGAAGGCACCTCATCCACTCCCTATATTAACACCTTTCACAACATCAGCTTCCTTGATTTGTTCTTTCTTTGACAGGATAGAACCGATGGTCGACTTGTTTTTCCCATACATCCTGGCAAGCTCAGCAAGTCTCACACCACTCTCATACTTCTGTATTATTTCCTTCTTCACATCTATGGTGTTTCTCACTTTCTTTACCACAGGGGTACCACTAGCAAGTTTCTTTGGGCCCATGGCAGGTTATTTCAGAGTCCCACAAGCACTAAACACAACGAAATAATCGTAAAATGCTTGAATGAGAGTGCAGGTTAGTGTTCACTCAAGCATAAACAAAGCTAGGCTGCTCACGGTGCCTGCGCGGGGACGCGGACAGAGCGGGCAGCAGACAGGTCCCATACCCAGCGGTCCAAAAATAGGGGCGCGTTCGATAATAGGGACACAGTTTGTCCGAAAAAATGGTCCTATTTTCGAAACGTTCGATATGTGATACGTTCGATTTTTGAGGTTGCACTGTATAAAGAACTAATGAAATGGATAAATGAACATTTAATATTACATTTACTTTTATTGAAGACTTGTTGGTGTATGGAAGATGCGAGGAGGAGGAGAGGTTATTGGTTGGAAGGGGACTTC